GTGTTTCCAATATGCCCAGCTATATACTGTATATAATTATATCATGGTGGTATGTCCGGTTGTTGGTGTTTCCAATATGTTGGTGCTATATACAGCTATATACTGTATATCGTATATCAGGTGGTCTCCGGTTGTTGGTGTTTCCAATATGCCCAGCTATATACTGTATATAGTATATCAGGTGGTCTCCGGTTGTTGGTGTTTCCAATATGCCCAGCTATATACTGTATATAGTATATCAGGTGGTCTCCGGTTGTTGGTGTTTCCAATATGCCCAGCTATATACTGTATATAGTATATCAGGTGGTCTCCGGTTGTTGGTGTTTCCAATATGCCCAGCTATATACTGTATATAGTATATCAGGTGGTCTCCGTATATAGTTGTTGGTGTTTCCAATATGCCCAGCTATATACTGTATATAGTATATCAGGTGGTCTCCGGTTGTTGTGTTTCCAATATGCCCAGCCATATACTGTATATAGTATATCAGGTGGTCTCCGGTTGTTGGTGTTTCCAATATGCCCAGCTATATACTGTATATAGTATATCAGGTGGTCTCCGGTTGTTGGTGTTTCCAATATGCCCAGCTATATATACTGTATATAGTATATCAGGTGGTCTCCGGTTGTTGGTGTTTCCAATATGCCCAGCTATATACTGTATATAGTATATCAGGTGGTCTCCGGTTGTTGGTGTTTCCAATATGCCCAGCTATATACTGTATATAGTATATCAGGTGGTCTCCGGTTGTCCGTTGTTTCCAATATGCCCAATAGCTATATACTGTATATATAGTATATCAGGTGGTCTCCGGTTGTTGGTGTTTCCAATATGCCCAGCTATATACTGTATATAGTATATCAGGTGGTCTCCGGTTGTTGGTGTTTCCAATATGCCCAGCTATATACTGTATATAGTATATCAGGTGGTCTCCGGTTGTTGGTGTTTCCAATATGCCCAGCTATATACTGTATATAGTATATCAGGTGGTCTCCGGTTGTTGGTGTTTCCAATATGCCCAGCTATATACTGTATATAGTATATCAGGTGGTCTCCGGTTGTTGGTGTTTCCAATATGCCCAGCTATATACTGTATATAGTATATCAGGTGGTCTCCGGTTGTTGGTGTTTCCAATATGCCCAGCTATATACTGTATATAGTATATCAGGTGGTCTCCGGTTGTTGGTGTTTCCAATATGCCCAGCTATATACTGTATATATAGTATATCAGGTGGTCTCCGGTTGTTGGTGTTTCCAATATGCCCAGCTATAGCTATATACTGTATATAGTATATCAGGTGGTCTCCGGTTGTTGGTGTTTCCAATATGCCCAGCTATATACTGTATATAGTATATCAGGTGGTCTCCGGTTGTTGGTGTTTCCAATATGCCCAGCTATATACTGTATATCGTATATCAGGTGGTCTCCGGTTGTTGGTGTTTCCAATATGCCCAGCTATATACTGTATATATAGTATATCAGGTGGTCTCCGGTTGTTGATGTTTCCAATATGCCCAGCTATATACTGTATATAGTATATCAGGTGGTCTCGGTTGGTGGTGTTTCCAATATGTTATATACTGTATTCCAATATGCCCAGCTATATACCCAGTATATAGTATATCAGGTGGTCTCCGGTTGTTGGTGTTTCCAATATGCCCAGCTATATACTGTATATAGTATATCAGGTGGTCTCCGGTTGTTGGTGTTTCCAATATGCCCAGCTATATACTGTATATAGTATATCAGGTGGTCTCCGGTTGTTGATGTTTCCAATATGCCCAGCTATATACTGTATATAGTATATCAGGTGGTCTCCGGTTGTTGGTGTTTCCAATATGCCCAGCTATATACTGTATATAGTATATCAGGTGGTCTCCGGTTGTTGATGTTTCCAATATGCCCAGCTATATACTGTATATAGTATATCAGGTGGTCTCCGGTTGTTGGTGTTTCCAATATGCCCAGCTATATACTGTATATACTGTATATCAGGTGGTCTCCGGTTGTTGGTGTTTCCAATATGCCCAGCTATATACTGTATATAGTATATCAGGTGGTCTCCGGTTGTTGGTGTTTCCAATATGCCCAGCTATATACTGTATATAGTATATCAGGTGGTCTCCGGTTGTTGGTGTTTCCAATATGCCCAGCTATATACTGTATATAGTATATCAGGTGGTCTCCGGTTGTTGGTGTTTCCAATATGCCCAGCTATATACTGTATATCGTATATCAGGTGGTCTCCGGTTGTTGGTGTTTCCAATATGCCCAGCTATATACTGTATATAGTATATCAGGTGGTCTCCGGTTGTTGATGTTTCCAATATGCCCAGCTATATACTGTATATAGTATATCAGGTGGTCTCCGGTTGTTATGTGTTTCCAATATGCCCAGCTATATACTGTATATAGTATATCAGGTGGTCTCCCGGTTGTCCCCAATATGCCCAGCTATATACTGTTTCCAATATGCCCAGTTGTTGGTATATATACCAGTATATACTGTATATCAGGTGGTCTCCGGTTGTTGGTGTTTCCAATATGCCCAGCTATATACTGTATATAGTATATCAGGTGGTCTCCGGTTGTTGGTGTTTCCAATATGCCCAGCTATATACTGTATATAGTATATCAGGTGGTCTCCGGTTGTTGGTGTTTCCAATATGCCCAGCCTATATATAGTATATACGGTTGTTGGTGTTTCCAATATGCCCAGCTATATACTGTATAGGTATATCAGGTGGTCTCCGGTTGTTGGTGTTTCCAATATGCCCAGCTATATACTGTATATAGTATATCAGGTGGTCTCCGGTTGTTGATGTTTCCAATATGCCCAGCTATATACTGTATATAGTATATCAGGTGGTCTCCGGTTGTTGGTGTTTCCAATATGCCCAGCTATATACTGTATATAGTATATCAGGTGGTCTCCGGTTGTTGGTGTTTCCAATATGCCCAGCTATATACTGTATATAGTATATCAGGTGGTCTCCGGTTGTTGGTGTTTCCAATATGCCCAGCTATATACTGTATATAGTATATCAGGTGGTCTCCGGTTGTTGATGTTTCCAATATGCCCAGCTATATACTGTATATAGTATATCAGGTGGTCTCCGGTTGTTGGTGTTTCCAATATGCCCAGCTATATACTGTATATAGTATATCAGGTGGTCTCCGGTTGTTGGTGTTTCCAATATGCCCAGCTATATACTGTATATAGTATATCAGGTGGTCTCCGGTTGTTGGTGTTTCCAATATGCCCAGCTATATACTGTATATAGTATATCAGGTGGTCTCCGGTTGTTGATGTTTCCAATATGCCCAGCTATATACTGTATATAGTATATCAGGTGGTCTCCGGTTGTTGGTGTTTCCAATATGCCCAGCTATATACTGTATATAGTATATCAGGTGGTCTCCGGTTGTTGATGTTTCCAATATGCCCAGCTATATACTGTATATAGTATATCAGGTGGTCTCCGGTTGTTGATGTTTCCAATATGCCCAGCTATATACTGTATATAGTATATCAGGTGGTCTCCGGTTGTTGGTGTTTCCAATATGCCCAGCTATATACTGTAAATAGTATATCAGGTGGTCTCCGGTTGTTGGTGTTTAGTGTTTATTACGACTTGTATATGTACCTAGTGGCAGCCGTAACCGCAGAGCGACGTTGTTGTAGGCGCAGTCGTGGCAGTGACTGAGTGTAGGATCATACATTGTCTGTCTCACAGTCCCAGAACCATATTAGTTTCCCTACCGCCAAGCCCCCACCCTGCGATGGTAAAGCCCTAAATGGAGCAAGTCTAGATTTCAGGTTCTGAATTTCCAATCCATTTCACTTGGGCTCCTTTTCAATTTAAATGTGTTTATTTGTTACTATCAGAATTATATATATTCAGGGACTAAGCGTTAGTTGAGGTCATATGAAATGCAACACGTTTAGACCGACTGGACAGTGGTGACCATGACCAAAAGGAAGCATGCAAGACGGGGTATAATAAAACTGGCCTTGAGGTTGGTATACGCTGCAAGCTGTACGCTATTGTAATTAGCCTGGGGTGGGGTGGGGTGGTGGGGGTGGGGGTGGGGGTGGGTTAGTGAGTAAGGTCTTACGCCGCTTGTAGCAATATTCCAGCAAATGTTACGACGGGGGACACTACAAACGGGCTTCTCATATTATACTCATATGAGGAATCGAACGCGTGCCCTAGGTATAATGAGAGAACGCTTTAATCTCTAGGCTACCCCTAGTTTGGAACCTATACTAGTCACGTAGTCTGATGGTGCAATTTCCATAGGCGGATCCATGGATATGTAGGTATTGATGTTGAGGGGGTCCGCACTACCCAAATATCGGGTAAAACAACAACAAAAATCAATAAAAAACAAACAAAAACCCACACACCAAAAAGAAAACATTAAACAAAATTATGTACGCTGTCAAAAGCAGGACTGGTTGTAGGGCACCCTCTGCGCACGCACGCACACACACACATGCACCTACCTATGCTTACTATCCGAGACGTATAATAGGATCGAGTGATATGACTTGCTGACATGGTTGAGGCATGTCATCGTATCCAAACTGAGCTGTTCGAAGCTTATGATGTTAATCACTGGACTGTCTAGTCGATTATATACGGACCACCGCCATACAGCTGGAATATTGCCGAGTGTGGCATTAACCAACAAATAAACCCTGACCCAACAGTCACGAAAGACCTGGGAGAACTGGTATCAGTTTTATTTTCCTTTCACATACACAAAATGTCGAAAGCATAATTGATCTTCGATTCCAAGTTTAACTGTCGCGTTCATTGACAAATGTAAGTGTTTCAATCCAGTATCTGTCCAGATCGTTGTATATGGGTCTCGAATGATACCAAAGAATATTCAAATGCATCCGTGTGTTAAGTATATATATTTGTGAACACCTAACTGATAGATTATCACATGACATCATGGTGGTCGACGGCTGGTCATAAGTCAATGGCTTCTAGAACGTCCTCACGACACGTTTGTGCGAATGCCAACAAATGCGTGTTGAGAACAGTTTGATAGTACAATAATGCGGACTTAAAAGATACGGAGTAAATATGGACAAAATCTTTCGAAACCAGGAATATCCATATTTATGCAACTGAATAAAATGATGCAGCCCCGAGTCTAGTCTCTAATGGCCCCTGTTTCTCGTTCCATGTGTATGTCCTCTGTCCTCTACAAGGCCACTGTGTGTTCCGTGTCCTGCTCAATGGAAACTTTTGTATGTCCTGTAACGTGTCAGCCTCTGTCAGTCCTGTGTATTGCTCCAAGACATCATCTGTATGTCCTGTACACAGACTGCGTTTTTGTATGTCTGTGTCGTCTACCCTGTCCGCTTGTGTATGTGCTGTGTATTGCGCAATGTCCCCTACTTCTCTGTATGCCCTTTGGACAACACCATATTCGCTCTGTATGTCCTCTGTCCTGTACCTGCCCTCTGCCCTGTACCATGTACTACTCTTAATGTCATGTATGGCTGTTCTTGTACGTCCTCTGCCCTTCACCTGTCCTCTGTATGTCCTCCGTCCTGTACCAGTCCTCTGTCCTTTACCATGTACGGGTCTGTATGTCCTCGGTCCTGTATCATGTCCTCGGTCCTTCACCTGTCCTCTGTATGTCATCTTCCCTGTACCATGTCCTCTGCCCTTCACCTGTCCTCTGTATGTCATCTGCCCTGTACCATGTCCTCTGCCCTACACCTGTCTTCTGTATGTCATCTGCCCTGTACCATGTCCTCTGCCCTACACCTGTCCTCTGTATGTCCTCTGCCCTGTACCATGTCCTCTGCCCTCTGTATGTCATCTTGCTTGTACGATGTCCTCTGTCCCGTACCATGTCCTCTGTATGTCCTGTCCTGAACCGTCTCCTGCTCGGTATGTCCTGTTTCGCTATTCCATTGTCCTGTACCATGTCCTCTGTATGTCCTGTCCTGAACCGTCTCCTGCTCTGTATGTCCCGTTTCGTTATGTCCTATGTTCTGTAACCTGTCAGCTTCTGTATGTTCTGTGTCCTCTCTGATTCCAGTTTGACTGTGTCCAAGTGTCCTCTGTCCTGTTGCATCCATGTTTCCATGTCCCGTGTGCAAACAGCAGGCGACCTTCAAGCCTCAGGTGATATGTGCCCTGCATTCGGCTGTGTAGTGTTGATAAGCGTGCATCTCTGCAACAAAACCAAATCTGCAAGAATCAAACCCAAGACACAGAGTACTTACAAACGCTACAGTACTCGTCCCCCGATTTGGCAGCCAGCGGTTGGGGGGTGGGGTGGGGGTGGGGGTTATACGTGTTATTCGTGACGAGACTGGTTACTAGCACTGACAATATATGCGTTTAGATGGAAATTTGATTGAAACGACACTCCAACCTACATGGATACACTTTGACTACATTAAAATATACGTGTCGCATGGAGGATTCGGAGTTTAGTTTTACGCCGCTTTAAGCAATATTCCAGCAATATCATGGCAGGGGACACCAGACATTGGCTCCACACATTGTACCCATGTGGGGAATCGAACCCAGGTCTTCGGCGTGATGAGCATTTAACCACTAGGCTACCCCACCGCCCCCAAATAACACAAAAAAGTAAATTTACCTGCTTAAATAACTTGTTGGTGTATGTTTAAAATCTGAAGATGGCGGCAATGAGGCAGGCTGTGAGAAGAGACATGCTTGCAATGGCAATGGGTCTTCGGGGTGACGAGCGAACACTTTAACCACTAGACTACCCCACCGCTTCTTCCTTTATAATAAAGCCCAGTAGTTAAAGTGATCGCTCCTCACGACGAACGCCTGGCACATATCACCTTATCCCAGCTGCGTGGATCGATGCTCATGATATCGATCAATGGATTGTCTGATTGACTCGATTATTTACAGACCGCTACATATAGCTGCAATATTGCTGAGTGGGGCGTTACAACTTCTTCGACGTGGTGACACAGTATAGTAACTTGACGGAATTTATGACGCTTCGTTGTTTCTGAAACGTATTGCACTTTTCGCGGTATTACGATTTGTAACACAGAAGGCTTCTAGCTGAGAAGCCGAATATAAACGAAACAGTGTTCAATGCCACATCAAAGCCTCAAGTCACCCACAATACGTACGGTAACACCTACGTACCAGCTATATACGCGTAACGTTGACCGGTGGTGGTGGCAACGTTGCAGATACGAGCACGTTCACACTACCTCAGCGTGAGTGTGAGTGAGTTTAGTTTTACGCCGCTGTTAGCAACAGTCACGTACATCTGACTTATGTAATATCGTTTTCATTCAATTAAGCCAGTTCATTACTTCTAACATTAAAGTGGTAATAAGAAAACAAACACAGAACCTGTTTAAATATTATTATCAATTGGTAAATTAAAAAAACAAGAAAACCAATCCCGTACCTGTTTTAGAGTATAATTACACGTTAAAGATGGTGACAAAGAAGGTGACGAAGAGGGTGACCGTGGTCATCAGAGCCGGGGCACCTTTGAAAGGAAAGAGACATGTCAGTTATAGAGAGAAGCGTCAGTAACATATACATGCACGAGAATCGATTAAGAATACCTTGTTCACAATTACAGGTGAGGTGAGGTGAAATTGGGTTTAACGTCGTACTTGAGAATATTTCGCTCATATGACGACGTGCATGCGTGTGTATGTGTATGTGCGACTGCTTGTACTAGCCCAGACTTAAGCTGGTTTTATAGTGCTAGCTCACTGAGATACCATGCCGCAGTGAAGCATGAATACCCCACTCAGACACAGTATACTGACTCCGAGCCGACCAGTCCTGGTTGTACCCAATAATGCCGAGCGCCAGGCAGGGACCAACAAGTACCATATTTTAACGTCTTTTGGTATGACGCGGTCGGGGATCGAACCCGCGACCTTCCACTCTCCGGGCGGACGCTCTAACCACTACACCACGGAGGCGGTCTGTTCACAATTACAATGAGTGAGTATGGTTTTATGTCGTTGTTAGCAACAAGACAATGGACACAAGAAACAGGCAACGTCAGATACAAGAAACGTCCACACAACGGTATTTGATTGTATATTTAGAAAAGAGCGAAGGAATATTATCGTAAGTCAAAAATATTTTGATATGAGAGGTATTGATCTGAAGACAAACATACCACAGAGAGCCGTAAGTTCGGCGTAGGTACACTCAATGCTCTTGGCCTCTGCAGTAAAAAAACACACATTAAGAATACATGTTCTACAGTAAAATTTTACTTGGGCATTATGGTCTAACTATACGGATGTAGTTAACCGTTACATATTGAAAGTCCGCTTTACGTCCACTGCGGTAAGTGAGTGAGGGTGTGCGTGAGTATGATTTTACGCTTTTAGCTGTATTCCAGTGGGGTACACAAGTAATGAGTTTTCACACATGTAGGGAATCAAAGCCGGGTCTTCGGCGTGACGAGCGAACGCTTTAACCACTAGGCTACCCCACTGCCACGTCCACTACGGGCGTTTGCTTTCCTCTATAAATGATTCGAGTCTTTCATACATCTTAACAGAAGAACGCTCTATCTTTAAGTTGGTATGTGCCGAACATCCAGGAGTGAGTGAGAGAGAGAGTGAGTTTTGTTTTACGCTGCACTCAGAAATGTTCCAGCTATATGACGGCGGTCTGTAAATAATCGAGTCTGGACCGGACAATCCGGTGATCATCAGCATGAGCATCGATCTACGCAACTGGGAACCGATGACATGTGTCAACCAAGCCAGAGGGCCTGACCACCCGATCCCGTTAGTCGCCTCTTACGACAAGCATGGGTTACTGAAGATCAATATTCTAGCCTGGACCTTCACGGGTCCCGAACATCCAGGAACATATAGGACAATCCACATATGCTATGGCGTCATTTTGATACATGTCCAAGGTGCTGGAGTTTGTATGAATGTATATTGGTTAATGCCGCACTCTCCACTGTTCCACCTATATGACGGCGTTGTGTAAGTAGTCGAGTCTGGACCAGACGGTCCAGTGACTGACTTCACAAGCATCTATCAACATAACTGGGTTACGATGACATGCATCAACGTGGTCAGCGAGCCTGACCATCCGTTCCACCATCCGTTAGGCGCCTCTTACGACAAGCGTGATGACCAATTCTAACCCGGATTTTCACGGATAGCTAATTGTGTGTTCCTCCAGACGGTCGCACTATGCGATGCTGAGATGCATAGGAAGTATATCTAAGGGAGACAATAACACACTCCATTTTCTTATGAACGGGTCCAAAGTATTTTCATATGTACAGATGTTGCACATCATAAGGCTATGCTGAACACTTGAAATGGCGATATTTGTATGGCAGTAAAATCCAAACCGTTGGTATCGAAAGGGCAGACTGAGAAATACCATCACGGACATTTTCAAATTAGTTCGTTCTTGTGAAATCTTAACCTTTGGAAACAAATGCTAAAATGTCAACGATTTCACGACCCCTACAGTTTCCCATATAAAAGATTCGTACGTACTGAGTTCATCGGTAAACTTGGTATCGCAGCCTTCAGGAAAGCCGCCAATGCTGACACAGCTCTTCATTGCGCTGTAGGATCTACATAGGACACAGGCAGAACGTGGGTAGAACATCGACAGAACACAGGCATAACGTAGGTTGACATCGTTAAAACGTGGGTAGAACATAGACAGAACACAGGCGGAACATGGGTAGAAGAACGACAGAATACAGGCAGAACATGGGTAGAACATCGATGGAACACAGGCAGAACGAGGGTAGAACATCGATGGAACACAGGCAGAACGTGGGTAGAACATCGACAGAACACAGACATAACGTGGGTAGAACATGGTAGGAACACAAGCATAAATTGGATAGAACATCGACAGAACACAGACATGACGTGGGGATAGAACAATCGACAGAACACAGGCAGACGTGGGTAGACATCTTCAAAACGTGGGTAGAACGTTGTCAGAACACAGACATAACGTGGGGGTTGGGGGTGGTAGAACCATCGACAGAACACAGGCAGACGTGGGTAGACATCGTCAAAACGTGGGTAGAACATCGTCAGAACACAGACATAACGTGGGGGGTAGATCATTGACAGAACACGGGCAGAACATGGGTAGAACATCGACAGAACACAGACATAACGTGGGGGGTTAGAACATCGACAGAACACAGACATAACGTGGGGGGTAGAACATCAACAGAACGCAGACATAACGTGGGGGGTAGATCATTGACAGAACGCAGACATAACGTGGGGGTGGAACATCGACAGAACGCAGACATAACGTGGGGGTAGAACGTCGATAGAACACAGACATAACGTGGGGGTAGAACATCGACAGAACGCAGACATAACGTAGGGGGTAGAACATCGACAGAACACAGGCAGAACATGGGTAGAACATTGACTGAACACATACAGAACATGGGTAGAACATCGACAGAACACGGGCAGAACATGGGTAGAACATCGACAGAACACAGACATAACGTGGGAGGTAGAACATCGACAGAACACAGACATAACGTTGGGGGGTAGAACATCGACAGAACAGAGACATAACGTGGGGGTAGAACATCGACAGAACGCAGACATAACGTGGGGGGTAGAACATCAACAGAAAGCAGACATAACGTGGGTGTAGAACATCGACAGAACGCAGACATAACGTGGGGGGTAGAACATCAACAGAAAGCAGACATAACGTGGGTGTAGAACATTGACAGAACGCAGACATAACATGGTGGGTAGAACAATCGACATAACACAGGCAGAACATGGGTAGAACATTGACAGAACACATACAGAACATGGGTAGAACATCGACAGAACACGGGCAGAACATGGGTAGAACATTGACGGAACGCAGACATAACATGGTGGGTAGAACATCGACAGAACACAGACATAACGTGGGGGTAGAACATCGACAGAACGCAGACATAACGTGGGGTGTAGAACATCGACAGAACACAGACATAACGTGGGGGGGGGTTGAACATCGACAGAAAACAGACACAACGTAGGTAGAACATCGATAGAACACAGACTGAACATGGGTAGAAGATCGTCAGATCATGGACAAAACACAGGCAGAAAATGTGTATATTTCTTATACAGTTGGAACCATTCTGTAGATTTTAACCATTACCCCCAATCGTATTGATTCCTATCCACTACACACGACTATACAAATCTGACATAACACATGCTGCAGAGCGTGGACAGGCAATCAATAGTGGGACACATTTCTCACGCAGTTTGTACATGCAACGTCAAATTATTCATTGATTTCATTGTATGCATTTGATTGTACCCGCAAGCTTCGTTTAACTTAACTGAAAACACATCGTCAGTGATACTGTGAGTACGTCACAATGTCTGTAGCAATGTCAGTATGTCGAACTGTCCTTCACCATGTTAGTACGTTTAATTGTCCTTGATAATGTCAGTACCTCTGACTGTCCATGATAAAGTTAGTGCGACCCAATGTCCTTCATATTGAAAGTACGTCTTACTGTCCGTGTAGTGGTTAGAGCGTCCGCACGGAAACCGAAAGGTCGCGGGTTCGATCCCCGGCCGCGTCATACCAAAAGACGTTAAAATATGGTGCTTGTTGGTCCCTGACTGGCGCTCGGCATTAATAGGTACAACAAGGACTGGTTGGCTCGGAGTCAGTATAATGTGTCTGAGTGGGGTATTCATGCTTTACTACGGCATGGTATCTCAGTGAGCTAGCACAATAAAACCACCTTACGCAAAATATTCTTAAGTGCGACGTTAAACCCAATTTCACCTCACCTGCTGTCCGTGAAACTGTGCGAAGTACAGTCCGTTAATAAAATCAGTACGTCAAACTGTACGTGATAATGTCAGTACGCCTTAGCATCAGCCAAACCGTTGGATACAGGGACTATTTATTTTCGGCAGTTCCAACTTTTGAAAATATTTTTTATCATCTGTGTTCCATGACATAAATTGGATGCTGTGCACAGCGGTGATTATTATAGGACTCACGTGCAGCTATCCTTGAAGATGTCTGTGGGGCAGGTTGTGTTGCCCTCAGCAATGCGCGCCTTGCGAGTGTCCAGATTGCCCGAGTTGGCCGTTGAAAAAGTTAGAATGCATGCGGTGATCTTAGTGCTTGACACGCTGCCACATTCTCCGTTTACAGCAACGACTGCGGAACACAATCAATTGAACGTGTCAACATACCTTGTAAAAAACACATTACTAACAAGTATAGGCACAAACACACGCACGCACGCACGCACGCACGCACGCACGCACGCACTCTCTCCGACATTTTTCGAAACACTTGTGTCTTTTCTAAACAAAAAAACAAACCATATTCTGATATATATAGTGTGTTTTGTGCTGAGATGCGAAAACATTTTTTGTGGCAATAGATCAGTTTTCAAATGTACAAATGAGAGATATGTCTAAAACTTTACAAATTACCGAAAGCGTATTTATGAGTGGCAACTGGTAGGGTCTGTTATCAAACTATGCATTTTAAATTAATTCCTAAGAAACATAATTAAATTATATCTCATTTGGGAGAAGTTGTAAGAATTACTCTTCCAAAATACCGTAAAACGCGATTTGCATGACCATTAAAACAATGTTTTAGTATTTCATGTTAAATAATGCTTGTATCAAATCGACAAAATGCTAGAAATAATTATTTTAGTGCTTGTTTTTACAATACATGATGAAAATAACATAACTGGTATTTATACTTGGATATTTTAACCGAAACGGCTATGTGACAAGTGTGAAATTACGGACGATTAATTACATGAAACAAATTAAATTTTATTATAATTTGCTACATGCCTAAAACGCGCCGATTTACAGCTGAAAATAAAAATGCGAGATAAATAAGTATTACTTACCGTATAGTACTATACAGACCAGTGACGAACTCCAAACTTTGGCGGACAGCATGTTTATCAAGGAGTACTTTCTGTACAGGCGTTTATCCTGTTTGAACTGATACCTGGCACAAGAGCCTCGACTTATGTAACCCAACCGGTGTCATCATTAAACTGAACCCTATTACATATGGCCATGATTCTTTGTTGTATATATATATAACATGAAATTCGCTCATATGACGACGTGCATGCGTGTGTATGTGTATGTGCGACTGCTTGTACTAGCCCAGACTTAAGCTGGTTT